AAAAAGTATGAATAAATCCTCAAATATTAAGATTTGTTCTGTTTAAAACATTCAGAGCTTTATTTAAATTATTAGATGTACGTATCTCGATTATACAGGTCAAGGTTGCTATTACAAGACTACATATAGGAGTTTTATTCAACGTTGAGCGTTTACACCATTTATTCTGTGTGTGTTAATTTCCACTGGTTCTGCCAAGTTAGTCTTCTCGTGTGTTACGCTTTATGGTACGAAGCTGAATAGGGACTGTGCAAGAAAAGCATTCGTCGCGAACCATTTATTGTAATCTACTGGTGCTATTTGGAGTTTGTGCTTGAACACCTGGCGCGTATTTTCTGACGTCTTTATGTGGATTAGGAAACTAAAGAAAATGTAAACTACACTTCACAATGAACTTTCAGACCGTTGTCTGTTGTCTCTACAGACTGTAATATGTATGTAGCGTATCAAACAAACCAATTGTAACTGAATGAAAAATGTTTTAATTTGTGTAAAATACGAAGGTAATGGTATTTTTAATGTTTGTAATATGTACGGACAAATCAGCGTGTTTCGTTGATAAAGAAGTAATTAAAGATTTTTTTTTGAACATTTATGAATTGTATTTTTTATTTGATATTAAATACTTTAAGGGTTTTTATATTTAACTTTACATTATCTAGTACGTGATGTGTTGGTAAAATTAGATAAGTCGCAATAATTTAAAGGTATATCAAATTTAACTTGTATATTCATAAACCTGAATATTGGTTTTGTCATACAGCTTCGTTAAAGGTTTTGTACCTTATGTCTTCGATTTTGATAAAACTAAACTTAGTTGATTAGACTAAATCCTTTTCAAGACTTGTTGCATTAAACTATCATTTCATCAAAACAAAAACTTAATTTTCGTAATATAAAACTGTTACAAATATTGGGGGGGGGGGGAACTGACTGGAGATGAAACCAACCAACGAGAAGATCGCAAACAAGGTTTGATATTTGTCTTTTTCTTTATCTGTGTACATAACCAAATAGACTTGATGGTACTTATTTATTGTTTTTCTTGTAAAGTATGTGTAATTGGTGTTTCGTCAAAAATTGCCTATTTTCGGTTCAATGAAATATAAAAACTTCGTAATAAGTGAAAGTGGATGATAAAAATGACTAAGCAGTAAAACTAAGTACGTGACGTATTTATCCATAATTGTAAAATGTACTTTTCTATTGATATTTAATACACGTGCATCGTATTCGTTCTATAAATCAATTTGTATCTTCATGTAGGTTTTTCTTAGATATTTGTTAATGTTTAAGGTGGAAGAATCACATTGATTTGTGTTGTAAATGAACGGGTGGACAGAGAATGGGCAGTTTCCATTATTTTTTCTTTCCTTTTTGTCATACAAAGGGTGAAAATAAACTATTCGATTAAACATTTTGAGGAATAACTTGGTATAGTTAATAAACATGAATGCTTTTTTTCATAGAATTTCTTTAGGAACGAACTTAACAGAACAAAGTAGTATTCGAAATTGCTTTGATGGTTTCTTAGTATTTTGTCAACATTTGTTTATGGCTATACAGTTAATAAAATAATTTTTCACAGATGTTAGTCTTAACGAATCTATTCAGCAAAGATAATGTCTCGAGAATTTATTTCGATTGTGTTCGTACCTTCGCAACGCTATTGTCCTAAGCGTGTGAACCTATTCACGGAAATGTGTTTTTTTTGTACATGTAACATGAAGGTGGAGAAACATATTAGTAACGTGACCAGAAGTCGTGTTTTCGTCGTACTACCGTACTAGTACTATGACTGCACATAAGATTGGTCTTGTCCTCTTATAAATACCTGTATTTTCATATATTGACGTTCAGATACATACATACATATATATATTGAGGATGTAATGATATGAAATTGACTCAAACAGGCGTTAGCTATTAATTATTACCGTTGAAAATTAGATGGTATATATTCTTCATGAATGCCATTCTTTTCTATTACACGTTTTCAAAACGCACTCCCGATTTGTTAAAGGATATGATATTTTTCATTAAATAGCATAATAAATAAAATTTGAAATGCAACCAATTTTTATTTACGAGTTAGGTGTACTTCTTTGGACTCCAGAAAATTTTGTCAATAAGTATTGGAGGATGTAATACTAGATCTTTTTCGGTATACTATAGTAATAAGTGTTCGAAATAGTATTGAATAAGTTAGAATAGTATGAATAACTTAATAAACAATAGTTTTATATGTTAAAGTTCGATGTATAATATAGTAATATTTGATTATAGCCGAGTGTGTAAAGATTTCGGAAACAAATCGTACGCAAAATTGTTGTCTTAAGAATTATCTAGCTGAGAAATTCTCTAAAGGTTAATTTAGTAGCAGTAGGCAGATTACTAAATATATCGTGATGGAGTTACGTGGTTATCTGGTATATTTCCGAGGTTAATCAGTTTAGTAATAAATTATGATTAAAGGTATTTGCCGAAGTCGGTTAAGAGATTTGCCTATTCTGTAAATTAAGCTTCCAAGTATTATTATACTAAAGTGCTGTTTTTAATAAAGAGTTAAACATTCAAATAGAACGTTAAATGTAAGTAATGTGAATTTTTGAAATTACCATTACCTTTTCATTCAACGAAAACGTAGCTTTGTTTAAGTATAAAACAAATAAGTATTTATTATTTTATATGATTTGCGGAGTAACAAACTTGCCATCAAAAGTTTAGTACGATGTTTGTAAAAAACAAGTAAAATATTAAACGAGCTTTTTCTTTTGAGTTCACTACAAGTCGCATAATCATCTAGGATCAAAATAAAATCCCAAGAATGTTAAAATTATGTTCGAACAGAAAAGTGTTTACATCAGAAACGTACTTGTATATGCATTAAACAGTAACAACATTCCCTAGATGCAATAGAAAATATTCACTTTTTATAAAGTTTCAGAAAGAACAAATAGTTTAGCGTAATTCTTCCTTTCACTGTTCATTTTTGTGATAAATTGATAATTTGGAATAGGTAAGTTACAATTGCCATTCTCGAAAATTTAGGCAATAATGTTAATAACATATTTAGAATCTTTGTATCCTTTGATTAGATATTTCGTATAATATTCTTTACATAGTAATTTAGCGTAAATATAAAACTCAGTTAAGTATTAAGAATAATGTATGTAGATATGTTTAATGTTAGAAAACTACATACAACTATGTTCGATTTTATAGATATGTAAAAGTTGTGCTACAAGAGATCAAAATAATGTAAGTTAAAATGATACTCAAACACAGAGGCGTATATGCAATTTGAAGTATGCTAAACAGCAAATGAACAAATGATACGTTTAATAATATGGAAATATTTATACTGGAGTAACTTCCTAAGGCATATTCACATGTAGGAAATAGAACATGCAACGTTATTTTACTGTTCAAGGAATAAGTTTATTATTCATAATTTATTATAAGAATTTTGCATTTGCTTTAAGTAGGAAGATATATTTTTCATTCAAACCAATTTAAGAAATTACATTTTGGTGTATAACGTGAAAGTTTCACAGTTTTTGATTTTCTAGATGTGTAGTAGTTGTCCTATAATGTTTGAAAATTATGACCGTAAATAAATGGAGATTAGAATATAACAAACGCTTGTATGTTGCTATAAAAGGTAATACAATACTTTGTGACATTCGTGTGAAAGTGTTAATCATAGAATAACATTAGGGAGAGAAACACACATAATTAGATTTGCTATTACAGTGACAGAAGCTTAAATAGAAAGTTCTGGTAATACTTCAAAACATGAGGCATGAAATGGCCATTGGCGAAACGTATAGGTTATTAGTAGCTTATCCACGGTTTTCAACGAGACTGATAGATATTTGGTATATTGAATAACATTCGTCACATAGTCATGTAGGGTGAAACGGAAACTCTATAGGTTTATGTTGAAACAAAAGAGTATATAGAAAATTTGAAGTGTGCTAAATAGCAACAGAACAAATGATACTTCTAATAATATGGAAATATTTATAGTAGAGTGACTTCCTAAGGCATATTCACATGTAGGAAATATATCATGCAACGGTAATTTACTGTTCAAGGAATAAGTTGATTATTTATAATTTATTGTAAGTATTTTGCATTTGCTTTGAAGTAGGAAGATATATTTTTCATTCACACCAACTTAGGCAAAGATATTTTGGTGTATAACGTGATAGCGTCAGTGTCTGATTTTCTAGATGTGTAGTAGTTGTCCTAAATGTTTGAAAACCATGATCGTAAATAAATAGAGATCTTAAAACATAACTGATTAGAATATAACAAACGCTTGTATGTTGCTATAAAAGGTACTACAATACTTTGTGAGATTCATGTGAAAGTGTTAATCATGGAATAACATGGAGAGAAACACACATGATTACATTTGCTATTACAATGACAGAAGCTTAAATACACAGTTCTGTTAATATTTCAAAACAAGAGGCATGAAATGGCCGTTGGCAAAACGTATATGTTCTTAGTAGTTTATCCACGGTTTTCGATGAGACTAATAGATATTTGGTATATTGAATAACATTCGTCACATAGTCATGTAGGGTGAAACTGAAACTATAGGTTTATGTTGAAACAACAAAAGAGTCTTCAAATTCTCTATACTTGCTATTTAGCACAGAAAACGAAAGATTTGTATTTTGATACTAGAGTACCTTAACTAGGTACGTTTACTTAGGGAAAAACATAGTCTATTGGAAATCTACTGTTGAAGTATGAAAAAGTATGTTGGTTATTTATAATTAGTTGTAACGAATTTTGCTCTTGATTTGAAGTAGTAAACCATGTTTGTCATTCGCAGTAATTTAGGCAATGATATTTTGGTCTACATGGTATGTAACGTAAAGGTTTGACAATGTTTTATTTTCCAAATGTGTACTAGCTGTAATATAGTAATGCATAACCATGAACGTAAATAAGTGATAAGTTCTTTATTTAGGAAAGTAGGGTTGAAATAATAGCTTTTTTGGTTTCAAATATTACAGTAAAGCTGTTTCTGACGGCATGAAATGAATGTATAACACGATGGTGAGGCACAAACATAATTAGATTTGTAATTACAGTGACGAAGGTTTAAATAAAAATATCTCTCAATGTTTCAGGACAAATAATAAAACCGCAGGAAAAACATTTAGTATCTTCGTAGCATTAATAGTTTATAGAAATTTACAAAGAACTTATAAACGACCAGCATTGAGATCGCAATAGATATGTGGTATAAGAGTTGAAAACGAGAAAAGCGTTTGTTTTATTTCAAATCAGTCATCACTCATTTACTTGCATGTTGGTAGAACAAGCACAATACTTTGAATATGATCAATACATGCGAGTGTGTTAACTTTTACCCTCCAATTTAATGCCGAAAAATGATTAGTAGAAAGTTTCATTACTTGTACATGCATTAATTATTTTGAATTAAGGTGGTGTTAGTACAGAGGTTTCTTTGATCGAAAGATATTACATAGAAAAGTTTGCTCACTTGAATGAAAGTGGACATTGAAACGGAAACTAATGTTTATTTCCACAAAATCATGCACTGAAATAAGTGACGGAGACCCGTAAACAAATAATTCATGTAAATAAAACAAACGTTTATATATTGGAATAACATATAACACTTTGTGAGATATACGTGCAAGTATCAAATTTTACTATAATGATGGAACATGGTCAATAGAACGTTTCAGCATTTGTAAAAGCATTATTTATTTTGAGTTAATGTGATATTCGATTATAGCTTACTCTGATGGAGTTAGTATTGTTTAGAATAGTTGATTGAAAATGAACACTAATGTATAGTTGTGAAGAGCTAGAGTGTCTTCGTGAAAAATAGTAGAAAATGTATTTGGTATATTGAATAACGTTCGTCACATAGTCATGTAGGGTGAAACTGAAATTCTATAAGGTTTATGTTGAAACAAAGAGTGTATAGAGAATTTGAAGTGTGCTAAATAGCAACAGAACAAATGATACTTCTAATAATATGGAAATATTTATAGTAGAGTGACTTCCTAAGGCATATTCACATGTAAGAAATATATCATGCAACGGTAATTTACTGTTCAAGGAATAAGTTGATTAT